TCTGGTGGACCCATCTGAAGACCAATGAAAGCGCTGTCCTCACCACTTCTATGCTCCACACCAACCTGGCAGTCTCGCCTATCTGCTGCCCTTGCAGGGTGGAGTACTGGACGCCGATCGCCTGCGACCAAATAGTGGAGCCGCAGACTAACAGCTGCCGCACATACCTTCGCCAGGGCCTCCCCTTTCCCAGCCCACGGGCCGTGACCACTCCCGACAGTCTTCACGAAGGAGTCTACTGCAGCGAGGATCGAGGAAGCACAGAGTCGCCTCATACAGAGCAGCTCGTGCTGGAACAGGCAGTAACTGAAAGTAGTCCATCAGCTCCCAACTGTCAAGTCGGTCTCTTTATCCCACCGGAAGCAGTTACGAAGACATCCTCGGCACATCAGCTCGTTAGACGTATCCGAACATGCTCCGGCGTCACAGGTCTGAGACTTCAATGAGAGGGAAGGATACGCAATGTAACCCCCTTACGTCTTCGCGGCATTGCTCGACTGAGATCCTTCGTGTGCTACTGGCCAGCCCACTGTCGGAGGCCTGTTCGAGTACACCTGCATGGTCCGAGTACTGGCACCGAGGCCAGTGTGAATATCGGTAGCAGCACGATACTCACGCTGCGCGTCGGGCATGGCATCTAGGTCCGGATTCAGACAGCCCTGCTCAGCGAAGGCTCGGCAGCTACCGCGAGCCGCGAGCATGTGGTTGACCTATGCAAAGAACTGTCAGCGACGGACCACTCTATCCCGTCTCTCACTCCGACGGCCTCGGATGGCTCCAACTGCTGCTGCTGGGAAGGTGCGGTGTGGGAGGGCTTCGCCAAAGCGTTCGGTACGTCCACCACCTTCCCATGGCCTGGTTTCTGACATAATATTGCATAAAGGAGATGTAAGGTCCCTCAAGATAGCACGAAATAGTTACCTTAGTATCGATGTCACGCCTAAAGGCTTGCAGATACTCCAACAGTTCTGCCACGTTCCTCGAGTTCTCATCACTGCCCGGCCCCTGAGCCAGTGGCGTTGAGCCGCCGACGGGAATTTGGTAATACAGCGCGCGTCCTAAGCAGCAGCAGTCCGACATGGGCAACTGACGGATGGTCGTCGTGCTCACTCTCCTGTTGCAGATAGATGGGGTCCAACATGGCACGTTCAACTAGATTCTCTCCGGAGACAGTGAGATCAGCAGTGTGGGACTTCTTCGACACGGCACAGCACGGTACCGTGGTGACGATGACCAAGATCAGGGGCAAAGCGGCCATGGCCTGAAACATCCCGATTCCTCGAAGGATCGCCGGACGCGGAATGGCTCACGTGTTGGCGATGATGCGATGGCCGTTGCTTGGCTGGGGTCATCAGTGTTGGTGAGTAATGGCTGAAAATGTTATAGTTACACTCCACGAGATTGACAACTCATGTGCCGAACCGAGCGTGAAGAGGAGACTGGCTCCATGCAGAGAGGTCGAGAGGCATGCTGATCGAGAATGTATATACATCAGATGGGAGCTTCTTGCGCGTCCGACACTGGACGGCTTAGAGTGGATGAACTTGATAGCGATAAAAGACGAAAGAAGGATCGAATGTGCCGAGGAAATAATAGACGATTCAGAACTATGTAACAGCGATCTTGCAGAGCCATTCAAAAGATCAGAACTCTTCACACATGAGTACCTGACAGAACTGGAGTAGTGGCAGCAGTAGTTCCGCGAGAGTACAAATTTATGGCCGGTCTCATTGGACGCCCATCGGCATGCATCAGCTACATCAGCCTGTAGCCTAGTGTTACCGCATAGATACCTCAAAAAGGGGACCGATACTCAAGGCGGGATAGCGGAAACCTACACCCATTTGGTCGGAGCCTCCACTGGCGCGGGAGCAGATGCTATGTGGCCTTGGTGGAGCGGGCAACGATCACTGAACGCTATTTTCACAAAGTCTTGAGGCCAGCAAGGGCGGCCAAAACGGATGGGTATACTGCTGCTGGGGCCCTCTCGAGCTGTGGCGGAGTCATCAGAGTCCGCTGTGTACGAGTCGTGCAGTACTGACGACCCGGTGGGGATGTCGCACATGAAGGCTTGCCTGCAGGAGCTGTGAATGACCGATGACCATCGAGCTTTTACCTACTTGGTATCCTCGTCGGACGGCGTCTGAGCCGTGGCCATCTGAAGGCAGATAACCTTACTGAGGCTCTCATGAAAGAGGAAGGTTGAGGGCTTCTGTAGCTGCAGGGGCTGAGGCAGGGAGATCCTAGACCGACACAGTGGTGGTGTTGCTGCCCGCTCACCCCGACTGCCGCGGTAACGTGTAGTCTCAGGTGGACCTCTGTGAGCCCAGCCAGGCCGGTGTCCCCGGTGAGCAGCATCTTCGTTGCAGCTGCTGAGAGCTGCCGTAGGATGCTCACGCCAGAGAGGAAATCCCCGGCGTTCCGAGTGAGCCAGTAAAACCACACCTCGAAGGATACCAGTTCCCATCCATCGGCCCCGCGGCGCTCACCTTCTTGCTCCTACCAATCTCGGCCTGTTCTCCTGACACCTTATGTGCCGCGGCCTTTTTCAACATGGCGTCGAGGCTGCTCAGAAGGGTGTGATGCCAACTCCTGCACCAATGCATACGATAACGTCATCCAGCGAGCATCCGCAATCAGGCTGCGACGCCGTGACACCGAGCTGGCCCTGCTCTATGTCGTCCTCGGCCTCCTCATCGCTATCGCTAGCGTAGTCCAAGTCTCTGGTCTGAATGGGTGTGGTAGACCAACGACGGGCTGTGAGAGAAGCGCCGATAACCTACACTGACACTCCGTCTATTCCACCACTTTTTAGTCAGTGATCGCTTCGGAGCTGTCTCCTTGGTCAACGTAGTGACATCTGCCTTGATGCTCTGGGCAGGAGCGCAGAAAGGTCCGTCCAGTTTCACTTTAGGCAGGTCGTCCGGTTTTCTCTTCGCACCTGAGCATAGTAGCAAGTATGTCCGGCAGCACGCCCAACAGCTCGAATCCGAGATGCTGGTCACCTCCGGTGGAGCTGCCTTGTCCAATCTCCTTTGGTATTGACCAACAGCCGGACGAAGCCCGTGCCAAGAGCAGGCCAGTTGGCAACGCTGAATGGATGCCACTCGAACCATGAGATCTCTGGACAGAGAACATGGACATACATCCTGAAGGAAGACCTCGAGGTCTCAGGTTCGAATCCCAAGGCCGGTACTGAGTCACCCTGGGCTGCACCGCCTCACGAACTTCTCGCCTGTGGCAATGTCAATCCTGAGCAGCTCTGAGCTCACGCTCTCTGCCCGGATTATACGTACGCGTCGATGAAAGCTCCGCCGGATTCGCAAGAATAAGTACCTGAGACCAGAGAGTTCCCTTGGCCGACGCCCGTGGGTTAGTCTCCATACAACAGACATATGGGCATGACGATGGGAACTACGAGAGGCAAACCGTGCCCCAGCAGCTGTGATGAACCATGTATCTAAGAGGTAATAAGAAGGGCTGTGCCGAGAATTGAACTCGGGACCTCTCGCCGCCCAAGCGACGTTCTTGCCGCTAGACCACGAGACGGGAAAAAGAGCAGAAAAGAATTAATACAGCACATATGGAGGCGATTTTTTTGGGATGAAATAGAGCCGAGAAAGCTCTATTTCATTATATTTTGAACATCTATCGAGGTTGCGTGGCTGGCTGACGATTCGCCTTGGTAGCCGACTAGACCATGGCTAGACTACCGGCTAGACCAATTGTAAGCCTTCTCCGCGTGTCTTGGTTTTTTTAATATTTTTTCTTCAGAATGAAATAGCGCATGTCTAGATTCATTTGAATTCAGCGTCTCACCGTAACATTCTATCTCTGCGCAAAGTTTTGTAAGGATGCGGATCATGCGCAGCACGTGCGACGCCGTGACGCCGAGCTCGCGGGCGAGCGAAAGTTGCAAACGCGCTGCTGCCTATCCTGGGACCTCCGCGACCAGTGGCTGTACAACTGTCCCTTCCTAGAAAATCCTGGCGATATGTCACCAAACCTCGGGTAGCAATTGTACTAAAAGTGACTTGACTTGTTTCTGATCCCCCTGATATTATCAGGCTGGTAACCAGGGCCTGGTTCGGCGTATCGTCTGAAGAAGACTTTCGGAGCGTTTGTAATGAGCTAACCGAGGTGGTTGCTCAGCTCAGCTGAGCAGCCGGGGCCCGCCGATGCTGTCCACAGCCTCACCAACCGAGTTTTAGACCGTACGGTACAGTCGATCATAACACTGAATTCACGCCGCGAATCGTGAGTCGCGATGCATCAAAGAAGTTCGCGCCTTTTACTTTCGTGGACCATTTCGGAAGGTTGCGATGGAATTTTCAGAAATTTCGCAGTACAAAAAGTGCAAACTTGTTGGTCGAAAAGGCAAAAGGGCCCACTGGTGTGTGACGTTATAGACTCGCAGGTTGGAAAGGCTAATACCGTACTACAGTCCTCGAGGGGATACTATTATTTTTCATCCAGCGAGTTCCTACTATGAAGTTGCGCTCCGTAAGGGAGCTTTCCTTATATCAGCATATTTCCTGGACGACAGATAAGGATATTTCCGGGACTCAGAGTACCGCTATGCTTTGGCGTAGAGGTCAGGGTTGTAGAGCCCGTGGACCACGGGCTGTGGTATTTTAGCCCAGGCTTGGAGTAAATTCGGGGAGGGTCGCAAGATAAAATCCCCAATTCACGTGGTTACCGGAGTATACCATGCGCAAATATTAGCCACGGAGTGGCTTGGGTGTATCACTCTCAGATGACTCCTATTGAGGCAGATTCCATGGCAGTGAATGATCAGCTTATAGCTGGTTCCAATTACCAAGCTACCTTTCACCGACGGAGGGACAACCTTTGGCAGAGGTTTGTGCAGTATATACCTAGTCTGACGAAATGAGTCCAATCGGCTTATAAAACCACGAGAGAACTCTATTTCAAACACTTGTTAAAGGTACATCCCCGCGACAAATATATTTTCCATTTCATTTTTTTATTTTTTTTCGCGCCTTCGGCGCGAATTGTACACAATACCGCACAGCCCTCTCGCACCCTAAGCGAGAATCATACCACTAGACCACACAGCCGATGTTCACCAGCATAGTATGCGAGCTTGAAGGCAGCACAGACTTACGTAAAGCAGTAAAACGTAGAGGACCATGCATGTAGTATGGACGAATTGAAATGTCTTGTAATGAGACCATCGAAACTTCTTACGGGAATACCGCCCCCTGAAAGCCGATCGGTAGGTGCAAGGAAGAGCAGAATACTCATACATGAAAGCAAGTAGTAAAATATGAGGGCGGCACCCGACCAACCAACAGTGCTCGAAAATATGCCCCACACCGTTGGGGTTGAATCAAGGGGACACGACGGCCGAATGGGGACCAATGACGGTAGGATGGGCTCGAAACCCGGCTTGGCACAGACTAATACCTATAAGGGACTCTGTAGGACAGTGTTGAGCCTGCTGTGGAGGCGTACTGAATTTATGATGCCGGGCTTTACTCTTGATAAACACAGGTATTGTGCCCGACCAAATGGCCAAAGACGTGCACCTGATGGTCAGACCCTAGCGATGATCCGAGTAGGGGGCTCGACTCACCACAACATACACCGCCAGCAGCCAGGCTGAGTGTACATGGATCGAAAGGGAATGTAACAAGGGTTTATATTCAGTTATCTTATACAACGATGTGATTAAACGACGACTCATAGTAGCGAACAAGGCAATACTGTACAGGAGCGTGCCCATCGCTCCGCCACGAGCGAGGACCAGAGGGAAGCCCAATAATTGGCCTGCTGGACGACCGTATCTGAGCACAAAGCAGTCGGCGTCTCCGCAAACTAAACGCGTTGGGCGACAACGACTGGGGCGGTCTTCCATTATGATCGCTACAAGACGCACAGTGCAAAGACATGCGAACCGAGTGAGCTGTCGAGGTGTTGAGGAGACACTTGAATGATGGTGGCTGTTGGGCCGTCCTCACCTAGCGTAGAGGCCGTAAGAGAGTGATATGGTGAAAAAGAATATATCCATGATGATGAAGCAAGTCTTCTTATCATCCCATGGCTCGCCCATCCCGAACAATGCCAACCCTCGTTTCCACTGCCGTGTGATTAAACGATGGAGACCATGACGGCAGAGGACCAGCCTCCGACGTAGTCAGGGGCACTACTGTGTTCCCTTCAGAGGACCTAAGCCTAGCAACCCGTGGTATGGGCAGTGTACTCCAGTGGTTACCTCATCATCGTAGCCTCACGACAGGGCACTGTTTTAGAGTTGCCCATTATGAGATCTATCATGGGCATGAGAGACCTCTCGCTGAGGGACCAGAAGCCGTACAGTTCGGCAGCCCCCTCTCGCAAGAGATCAGCTACCAACTCGGAGGGGGAGGCCGCGCAGCCCCGGGCAACTGACTTCTGCACCTGTGCACGCCCGCCGATGGTAATGAGCTCGAACGCGACGGACTCACCGCCCGTCGAACCTCCTCTACCGCACGCTTCCATTGAGCGTCCTGAGTGAAGCACTTCTCGCTTATTTGGTTGGACAAGCCCTCCCCCGTCTCGAAGCCGATCGAGGATGGCGGTGCACAGATGGACTGGTTGCCCGCTGGGGACCAGTTGTTGTTGTTGAGGACACACTCATTAGCCCGACAGGATGGGGTACGATGCTAGGGGGGTTGCGTTATTATTAGGGGTGAATGATGACACTGAGATGTGACCTAATTAAGAAGGGCGGAGCGAAGCAGAAGGAAGAAGAGGCGTTTCTACTCATCTTGCCGGCGACCGATAACAGCGCCTCCGGTGGAGCTTCCTCCTCCTCTTCCATCAAAGACCGTGATATGATAAGGCTTGCTGGTCGTGGCTTCGGACTCGTCATCCGACCACCTAGTACGTACTGCTACTGACGGAGCAAGACGAGCCGTAGCTTACCCGATGGCGTCCTCGTATCCGGCGTAGTTATCGCGACAGGCGATTTCTTATCGGCCGGAGTTCTTAAGACCTGTGACTTAAACAGAGATCTGCTAGGTACCTAGCAGAGGGCCTACCGAAGAGACAGCCAAGCCGATGAGCTCACCGTGAGACGATTGCCACTGGTGACGTTCCTCGGGGGCCGTTCCTTCGATGGTGGAGTTGCCCCCTGTCCCAGCGGCGACTTTGCAGCCTGACATCTTGCCGTTGCTCAGGGAGCCCTACCCGCCTCTCTCACCACGGGCGACACATTTCCTTCTTCCCGAGAACGACAAGCTTGCGTTTCGATCATCGGTCGAATCTCTCGGCCCAGATCCTGCGGTACATCCTGACGTAGAAGTGGAAGCGACGGCGGAGCGTAGCCGTCCCACCTCCAAACTAACGTCTTCTACTATAACGCTGTTGAGGTGTGCATTGCTACGGTCGATTGATGATGTGGACGATGGGCTGTCGAAGGAGGCGTCCAACGGGAGCGGCAAGGAGTTAGCTCGGCAGGCACGCCATGGACCCAACGATGAGAGGATGGACATAGCTACTGTAGACTGAGACTGCCACGATGTGACCAAAGGGTCATTGACCAACACAAAAGAAGCCTTCAGGGGTTATGAAATGGTACAGTTGGAAAAAGACGGAGGAGACAAGTGAGGAGTATCGATCAATCTAATCAATGTCACCGTAATAGTTTACTGGGCAGTAATGATACAGGGGCGGCTTCATCATCACCGCTACCAGCCTCGGGTATAATTATTCGCTGAATATAGTCCTTACCAGGAATCGAACCAGGAACCTCCCTACCTCCTCCGTAGCCATTGTAGTCATCTTTAGCCCGTGATCGGCCGTGCTTGCTCTTGACATGGAAGCCTCTTCTACTGAGATTCGCCCCCGTATCTTGGTCACGGCTATTAACCTAACCCTTACACATGCAACCCCGATAACGCCATTAGCGACTAACCTGAGGTGCCTTAGCCTTTCCCGGCTTATACAGCGCCTTCTTGCCTCTGTTCTCTGTCTCCGGTCGATCATAGTCTGGATCGGCCCGCCGCTCCTGCTGTTGTCGTCGATTCCCCCAGTCTCTACGTTGCGTCCGGCTGTTATCGTCCGTCCAGCCGCCGTGAGACCGCTGCCTCGTTGGTGGTTGGGCGGCGGAGCGACGCGTCGTTCGTGCATTGGCCAATGCTTGCTGGAACTGCGGTATGTTACAGACGACCTCCATACTCAGCTCTTCCGACTGAAACCACGATGATCATGACAGCAAGACACACTAAAGCACAACTTATAGAGCGGTTCATTCACTACTACTCTCATCACCTCGCCCTCAGCTTCATCACCATCTCCAGCGCTGCTCTTATTGATGAGCTTATGGCCCGGCAGTGCCTCTATGCACTCAATAGACGTGACGTTGACACCCTCCAGCATGGTAAGGCAGCAGAATACATCAAACCTTACACAACCACTACCGATACAACAACGCGTCTACTCTGTCTCTACCCACCTCAGCATGGCGTGGGTCGATGGAACCCCTCGGGTAGCCCAGGTCCAGGCCCTATTCACAGCCATCCACGTGGCAGCGTCATCAAGTTCAGGATTCCGGCAGAAGGCTTCGGCGGACTCGCTTGAATTATAATAAATGAAACTGGATAAGGATTTGAACCACCAACCTCGAGGTTACCAGCCCACAACCGCAACCACTCGGCCAAACCTCACCTCGTCCTAATGCCCTCCACGCTGTTGTCATGATACGTCCCCCAATTATGGGCCGCCCTATCGATTGCCTTGCGGGGGTGGTTGAACTCCTTCTTCCCTCTGGCCACCTTCTGTGTTGAAAACAGGCGTTCAATCCAACTAACTTTCGGCTTCGGATGATCCAGCAGCTGAAAAGACGAAGAATAAAATCGCAGCGGAGCGAAGCAACCAAGCGACAGCAGCAGGAGCATCATCGGCGGCTCACAGCCAAAGCTCTCCTCATCTCCTGCATCAGCCTCTCCATCCCTCTCGGGCTAACACCGAGGAGTCTGAGGTCCTCGAATGGATCAGCTATAGACAGCCACGCACGCCGACGTCTCAGCCCCATCACAGTATCAAGAGTCGGACAAGGCCCTTCATCACTGTCATCATCACCACCACTGCTACCTGCACACTCTCGGGATTCTGACACCTCTAGCTATCTCAACGTCATGAGGGTAATACCACATTTTTCCATACGTTTGATCAGCTTGACCAGCTCCGTTTTGAAGTAGTCCTCCTTGGACACCGGCGGGCCGATGGAGCGGACGTCGACGACGGATTCGTAGCTCGGGAAGACTTCCGTGTAGAAATCGAAGAATTCGTATAACAGGCGCGATAGGCTCGGTACGGATCTGAGACCGCAGGATCGACCCCACCACTCCGCATTTTTCTCTCACTTCTGAGCGTATTCTGGTAGGAAGAAGCGACTGAGGGCTTCCTGCGGGTCCGTGACTCCAGTGGATAGCCAATCGAAGAAATATACATGATGCTGATTTGAGTCGACGTATCTGGAAGTCTTCGAAGATGAAAGCACTGGGGATCGAGCCAAGGACCTTTCGCAACAGGGTGCTGCGCTCTACCTGTCGACTATCCATTCTGACTTGACATTTCGAAAGCAGCGAGGATCTTGTAAGGACGGTAATATACCCTTCTGTTGCAAGAAAAATATGACCAGCAAGACATAACTGAAATTAAGAAACAAAAAATCAAAACTCCACTCCGCCGTCGCCGTAGCAGCCGTCGAGAAAGTCTCTGAATGCCCCATCCGAGTACGGACTCACCTGTAACTGGAAAAGTGCCGTTGAGGGCATCATTGACATCCCTGGTCTTGGCCCAGTGCTTGACCAGGACCACCAACGACCGTACCTGATAACAATATATTAGTCACTGCGCCACGAAATTGCTCCGTCTGCTGATGCTGATTACCTCAGGCCTGAGCATAGCGTAGCATCTCAGCAACCTCGAATTATAAAGTGTAATCTCGTGATCGAAGGAGAGGTTAAACTCCACCTTCTCCCTCTCACCGTCAGGACCTTGCCATTATCACCATCCGCCACGACCAATCGACAAGAGAGCTCCTACCGGTGAATTCCTTAACCAGCAACAG